CACAATGAATCAAGGAAGGAGTGGTTCCCCAGGGTCTGCTAAGCATGCTCTGATCTCTGCTGGAGGGCAGGGTGGGTCGTCAGGAAAGCCAGCTTTGCCATTTCTGACTCAGACATGATAATTCCTTCCACCTTTAGGTGCCAAAGGCACAAAAGCCACGCTGACATAGGCTCTGAGGACTTCTGTTCAAATCCATGACCGCAGCCTGTGTATAGGGGTGGAGGATGGGGTGCTCTACAGCCTGTGGATGGGGCTGCATCTCTACATGAGGAACCGCTGTTGTTGTGTCTACTTTTTAACTACAACTGGGCAGGCTTTCAATAAGGGAGGGGCTGGTGTTTCCAGTGCAACTGATAACAGCCCCACCCTCATCCCTCCCCAGCTCCTCTGACCTCTCTTGTACCATTTCTGGAGCTGAGGTCACCACCACTTCCTTCACCTCCCCCAAGGCCTCTCCCAGCCTGCGTTCCCCTGCTCCCCTTCCCATGGCCCTGCCACATCATCCAGAAGCAATATCTCCATCTTTGCCAACTTTTCTTCCTTCCTCATAGCATCTGATAACTCTCATTCCAGTTCCACCACTTCCTGCAGACGTGTGTCTGTCCCCACGGTAACACTTTCCAAAGCTGTGAGGAACATGCAGCCCAAAGTTCCCCCAAGGAGCCCCTATTTTGCTGACACCAGCTGCAGTGCCTCAGGCATCGCGACCAGCTCCCAGCCCTTGGAAGGGACCCAGTGCTCCTGGAGGTGAGCCAGCCGAAGCCAGATCACCATGGGGGCTTCCTAGGGGTCCTGGCATCCATAGGGCAGCCGCTGAAGCATCCCTGCCATTGGGTCAGTTCTTCAGTCTCAACACATCCTGCCAACGATGGCAATGATGTTGCTTGAGGAGGAGGGGGTTCCCCACTGGAGGCAAGTTCCCTATGAATTTGCTGAGACCGAATAAAGGCAACGGCAAGAAGATGGAGGGTTTGAAAGGGATACCACACTTCCTCACACGGCAGGTGGTCTCAGGCCCTCATGACTCTGTTGCCGCTCCGTCCAGCTCCCCAGCAAGGGCTTACTCCTCTCCCGGCCCGGGGGCTCCATGGCTTCCCTCCGCCGGCCCACCAGGCTTCCCTTCTCTGCTCTCCAAGCTCTCTGCCAGGCGCTCACATCGCTCTCAGCTTGCAGTCCTGGCCCCCTGCCTCCCTGCCCCCAGCCCGAGGAGGAGCTCTGTGGGCTGGTCCCTGGTGACTGGTGGATGCCAGGCCAACCATATGCCGGGAACCGAGGGGAGGAGACAATGGGGGACTCCTCTCCTCCCCTTCCCAGGTCTGGTACCCCCGTGACTGACATAGATGTGCAGACCGGCTTATATACATGTACAGTGGGTGCTATTAAAGCCGGGCAGGAATCCTGGTCCAAAATTTCTATTTTCTCCACACTGCCCCATGGCAAGCTGGATTTAATGAATTCAAGTATTGCTCAAGTATTGCTCAGTATTAGGATGGCAAGAGAAAGATGTGTTTGCCTTCACACCAGGAAGAAGCGTGCAGTGACGCCTGTCACAGGAATTATAGGTCAGTCTCATGTCTTGCTTTAAAGTATGGGATATAAACATTAATTCTGGAGAAAATAATTTGGGATTAGAAACCAACTAATTTGCTTCTTCCCTCCCAGGGGTTCAGGAGGGGTGAGAGTTCTCACACTCTAAGCACAGGGTCGGCCCTCTGGCGACCAGCCCCTGCACTTAGTTGGGGGCCAAACACTTGGTCTTTCGATGACCAAAATGCATTTCTCTGACTTATTTGGTCTTTGTCCCCGGTTCCTGAAAACGCTCCAGAGCCACAGAGATGAAATGGGCGTCTTGTCATGTTCATGAAACTTTTGGCCCCCAACCAAGTGCAGGGGTTGGTCGCTGGGGGGCCGGCCCTGTGGCTAGAGGGTGAGAGCTCTCACCCCTCCTGAGCCCCTGGGAGGGGAGAGGGCAGGTTGAGCCACGCAGTGGCCAACAGCTTAGTCAGTGACACTGTGTAAATGAAGTCCTCACAAAAATGCATGAGACCCCATTTTGGCCACTTTCCCCTTTTTCCCTACTCAGGGAGCTACCAGGCTTGGGGAACAAGGACACATCCACCAGGGAGGCAGGCCCCAAGCTCCCCAAGGACAGAGCTCCTTTATCTGGGACCTCACCCTACGCATCTCTTCATCTGGCTGTTAACCTGTATCCTTTCAGTGTCCTTGACTGAACTGGTACATGTGTTTTCCTGAGTTCTGTGAGCGGCTCTAGCAAGTGAATCAGACCTGAAGAGGAGCTAATGGGAACCTCTCATCTACAGCTCATTGGGTCAGAAGCACAGGTAACTGCCTGGGGCCTGCGACCTGCATCTGGCATGTGGGGTGGAGGGCAGTCTTGTAGAAAAGAGCCCTTCACTTGGGGAATCAGGTGCTGTCTCTGGGCATAAAGTATGAAAATTGAGCTGAATTCTTGGGCATCCTGCTGGTGTCAGGGAATTCTTCCCTTTGTGCATGGGGGAATCTCGCACTCCGTCCCCTGAAACACACTGAAATCTGGTCTGGGATCCCTAAGGAGCTGGGCATGGAACTCTGTGTATATAGTTACATTCTTTTAGTCCCTTAGGGCCATGGCTTCACATTTCTCACTTGCGTTATTTCCAGTGTTAACTTGGAGCACCCCGCCCTCGTCATTGTTCTTCTGTATGGAACAAGTACTTTCTTTGACTGGCTTTTAGATTTTTCTCCTTAAAAATTGTTTTTATTGTAATAGTGTAAATTGATCTTGTTTCTTATGCTTGTTGAAATTCTTAAATCTGTGGGTTTTATACTTTACATCAGGTTCGTAATGCTTTCTGCCTCTATTTCTTCATATATATTTTAGCGTCCCCCTCACCCTGCTGTCTCTTTTATGGAATCCAGTTATCCATATAGTAGTTTTCCAATATTTCATTGCTGTTCTTTTTGTTATTGTGGATTATTTTGTCTCTGAGTTTTGTTTTACATAGTTTTTCTGCTGTGCCTTCAAGTGGCTAATTTTGTTGTCTTGCAATGTCAAATTAGCCATTAATCTCATCTAGAGTACTCTACATCTCAGAAATTGTGCTTTTCATCTCTAAAAGTTGAACTTGAGTGACACTCAGGCACTGTCACTGAACATACAGGTGAAGCAATAATTGCACTTCTGTGGAAAACTGAGGTCACTGAGTCACACACCCATATCATGGGGTCTGGTGCCTTCCTCCCACACAAACAGGGGCTCATGAATGTCACGCTAGGCCCATCATTCTGGCAGCAGAAAGAATTCAGTATTTTTCTATTTCAATCTGAGACACAGATTATGCACAGGACTAAGCCATACCAGGGTCTGCATAAATGCTTCTGTCCAGGAAGGGGATTTTTCTGGGGCAGAAATTGGTTTGGCGACATTCCCCACTCAGGAAGGAATCATTCATGAGGTCCAGGCTGACCTTGTGGACAGAGGCGGGAGGTCTGAGACGCTACACAGAGTTCTAATCATGTCTAATGAATTTTTATATAATCCTCACTGATCACAACTACTGGCATTTGATCTGAGCATTAATGGAGTATGGTCTTTATGATCCTTAAGACTGTACTTCTAGTCTGTAGAAATCACAGAGAAATTTCCGCGATTTTTACTGCAGTTACTTCAGTGAAAGTCGCATGCACAGGAGAGTGAGTATGCTGGCCCTCGCTGCATCGCGAGCCCTGTATAAACAACAGCATCAAGTCACATTTGCTGAGCTGTAATTGCTCCTCTGTTACTTAGGTTTGATGTGTTTCATGGAGGTGCTGATTATGTCCCTTCTGGAAATGCTCACAGTCTAATGATCAAGAAGGGACGATTGTCCTTCGCACAGTCAGGAAAGGCGCCGTAACCTGAAGGGCGCAGGTAGCAGTCAGCTAAGGCCTTAGCAGTTTTCCACTTCAAAAGTGCCTTCTGACATTTCCAATGGATTTACAATGACCTAATGTCATTTTCAGGTTCATCCTTGTGTTTCCCCTGTTTGAATGTATTCAGTGCACAAGATTTTATGTCTCAAGTTCCATTTTGCATACTTATTTTATAGTTTATTACATAAAGACTAATTTAGACAAAATACTCAAAAATATTTTGCTACTTATGTTTGCTTATGGGGAAAAAATCCCGTTTTATGTAATAATTTGCATAGTTGATATCAACAGAAAAATAAATGCTACTCATTTTGTTGCCATCCCCATATTGACTCAATACCTGTCACTTGGTTTCATGATGGGGAATTATTTAGTGCATCTGCATTTTATGAAGATTCTTGAATAGTCATTCATAAGTGATATTAGTCAAAAGACTAAATAAAATAAAACATAATTAGCACAATTAAGCAAAAGGTACAAGTTTAAAATATGACAACGTGTATTTGGATTATTTACAGAACACAAGATATGAGAAAATACAATAGTTAATAGCAGTGTCACTGCAGCCAGGCTGCTTGGCTTCACACCTGACTCTATTGTCATTTATTTGAACCTTTAAGCCCTTTCAGCATAATTCTACCTGACTGTACTAGACAAAATGGATATCTATGCCAGGATTGCTCACCTGGCTTTAATACCACCCATTATGGACCTGAAAGACCCTGCTTTCATATCGATGGGATGTTTACTGGGACAGAGCCCCTGGCCAGTCAACAGGAGTTGACCTTGGGGAGGGGCGGGGAGGAAACAGCCGCTCTCCCCTCTCCTCTGTTCCTGTTACCCAACTGGTCAGGCAGCCCCCCTTCACCACAGAAGCGTGCTCTCAGAACCCCTCCCTGGGCGGGGTGCCCGGAAGTGGAGAGCAGAGGGGCTGGGGGAGGGGGTGGCAGCGGGAGCCCTGGAGGCCTGGGCCGGTCAGGGAAAGGGTTGAGCCCCTGCTGGGAAGCAGCCGGGGAGGCAGCGCTGAGGGGCAGAGCCTGTGGGTGCCCCGGGGAACGTGTGGGGGCTCGCCGCTTGCACACAGCTGGGTGACCACTACAGGAATGAACATGGTTGAGCCCCTTTAAAAACCCCCAGCTTCTTGCCCTCGCCTTTAGTGGTCTCTGGGAATTCATAGAGAACGTGCCTGCGGTGGGGAACCCCCTTCTCCTGGAGCAACACTGTAAAAGGAGCATAATGTTAACTCAGAGAGTTGTAAATATTAAGTATGTTATCAATAAAGCATTAATAACAGTGACCCAACCATTTTAAATTTTACAGTTGTAGGATCTGAAAAATCAAAAGTTAGCATAAGTGCATAAGTACAGCCATCTTAAAGGGTTAAACACCACCCTCTAGCCTAGGAGAAGGAAAATTATTAGAATCTTGAAAAACAAATTAGTCAGCCAGTGTTAAATGTAGTGACCTTCAGTTAGCTAACCTCAAATCAGTTAATCATGAACACCAGGTAGTGGGCAGCTGCGGCCTTCAGACTGCTAACCTTGGTCGGATAGTCATGCATACCAAGCTTATCTTGCTGAAACCCACCCTAGCATTCTGAGAGTAATCTTATCTCACTGAACACCCCCAAGATGTGATGCCAGCCGATGAATCATGTGTACGTGCTTGTAGAAAAATACTGTCCTCTTAGAAATGCTATAAAAACCTCTGGCTTTAGCTGCTCAGGGTTCTTGTTGAGACCTGCTGCGTCGGGCTGATGCTTGGACCCCAGCTAGCTGGTTCCTGAATAAATTCCTCTTGCTTATTGCATCAAGAGACACCTTTCGTGAGTGATTTGGGGCGGCGTCGCCTCTGGGAAAATCCAACACAGTGACCCAACCATTTTAAATTTTATGTAAAGAAATATATCACACTTGGAAAATCTCCTAATCTCTTAACAAAAGAAAAATACATATTAGAAACAAGCCTATCAGGAGAAGTAATAGTACATGCAGATTTGTCAATTTAATTCTAACTGAAAATTGCAACCCACACACATGTCTCCATGCGGAATCCATGCAAGTATAAATATTGAGCCCTGGAAAGTACTGAAAGGCCTCTGTGAATTTGAATATTGCAATAATCTTCCTGGTCCGGAATATCACTGGGATTACGGATAATTTCTTGCTCACATCATTACATGTCCCTGTACTTCAGCGGAGGTGGGGCACGTCCTGCAGGTCTGGTTCTCAGGTACTGTGCTAACTATAGCCAACTCCCTGGTCATTCTACCAAGAGGAGCCCCAGAGACCATGGCAGCTTTGGGTGAGATGTTTTCTCAGTGACTTTGGATGCAAACTTTTTTGTGTTCACAGAGTGTTCTGGGGCATGTCCGCTAACCACCTGTCCCTTGAGTGTCTTCCAGGCCATGCGCGTCAGCCCCAGGGGCTCTGGTTGGACAGAGCTTAAAGTGAAGGTCCTGAAGCCCACCGGCCCCTCCGCCACCCTGTGCCAGGGGCTCCATGTGCTGAGGGACCTCACAGTGCCTCTGCATGTGATTGGGAAACAGAGATTGGGAAACAAATCACTACTATAGATTTTAACTACATTCATCTGTGCTTCACAACAAAGGCACAGACCTACTGTGTGCAGTGTCCGTGTCTGCCCCTGATGTCCCGTGTTTGGGGCTCATGATCTGGGCCGGCGGCTCGGTGGTTTCCCTCCAGCTCAGGCACCCACAGCGGGTCCTGCACATTCATAGGAACAGGCTCCCCAAGAGCCCCCCTGAGACCAGAGCCGCCCGCACCGTGCTGGCCCTGCTGATGCCTTTGTATCCTCTTTCCCCTCTCCCCCACCATTCACACTTATTTTTCTCATTTTGCTAATCCGCTTGGTGGCTGGTGAGCTCCTCTGCCTTCCTCAGGGCACGTTCCCTCCTCCCCCCACCGTCAGCCCCTTTGTGCCCCTGAATTGTAAGCCTGTGTGTCCAGGCACTTCTGTGCTCGTGCTGGAAGAAATGCATGGTGCTCGCACCTCATCCGGAATTAGAAAATGTGTGTTTCTCACCGTGTCGCACCCACTGTGATGCCCTCGTTCTCAGCGGGATCTTAATCGCAGGCCAGTCACACTGCAGATGCGGGCAGGGGGCAAAGCATGAAGAAACCATATTGAAATAACTCCCATTACATAAACACATATGCACAACAAAATTAAGCAGGCACTTTATATAATGGTTGTAGATCTGAATTTGTTGCATTTAAGATACTAGTATTTATACACACATGTGTTTCATACTTTTCTCATAGTCAATGTCCAATGAGGAAAAACCATATTCTATGCTAGATCCTGCACTTGGTGGAAAATCTCATTTTCCCAGTGAATGTGAGTGGCAGGCAGAAAACATACAAACATCAGAAAGAAAAGTGGTTTTGGACACTGTCTGGCTTCGTTTCCTCAGGAAGTCTTAAGCTTACCATGCGCATCGCTGAAATCCACCCGCGCGGGGCTCATGCTCTGGGCCAGCAGCTCAGCGGTCTTCCTCCTGCACAGGCACCAGCAGAGCGTCCAGCGCGTCCACAGGACAGGTGCCTGCCCCCCATGCTCCCCGAGACGAGAGCTCCCAAACCGCCCTCGGCCGGTGAGCGCCGCCCCGTGTTTACCGTGTTCCCCTCCAGCATCCGAGTCTGTCCGGCTGTTCTGCATGGTCCCAGCAGGTTGCTCACCGCTGCCTCTGCCTTAATCGCTGTGCTTCCCAACTACCTGTGCCTTTTCAAGTGTGTGCAGGAGTTCCCATGTTTCTTGTGGGAGGAACTGTACCTTAATCACATCAAAAACAAAAATAAACATGAGTACAGCCTGTTCTGCACGGTGCCGACTCTCAGATGCGCTCAGCTACTGTCATTCCCCCCAAATGCAGGGGAGGCATGTTGAACGCTCGGCCCTGCTCCTTTAATTTCCTGTTCATAACTTGATTAAAAAGACTCCCTACCCATCTCCTCTCCTCCCCTACGACCCAGAAAGTCTCATCCATACACTCCCTAAGCCCTCCTCTGCTCTTCACACCGGGTTTTTATCAGCTCTCGGTGTGGGGAAGTTACAGCCCTGCAGCCGGTTCATGGGAGCATCGCTTTGGGAACGTTCCCTGGGAACCTCGGCTCAAGCTGTTGGTGAAATATTCCTGCATGTGCGTCAGCTCTGAATTTGATGATTGGTGAGGACACCTCATACCTTGAGTGTCACCTGACACATGAGCCAAACGAAGCTGCTGAATCTTGCGAACTTTTTGAAGTTCAATTGCAGGAGTCGGCAGTGAGGTCAGGGGCTCTGCGTGGACGCTCCCTCTGCCTCATGTGGCGGGTCCAAGGTGTGCTTCTTTTTGTGATTTGCACCGTTTGTCCCGGGGGGTCCCCTCCTGCTCGTGCTGCTCTAGTCCAGTCTCCCAACCTCTCTCAGGGCGATGAATCCCAGAATGATCCCTGTTCCACAATAACGGTCCCCCTTCCTCTGGCTGGGGTGGTGACAGCATGTTCACAGGGCAGTGTCTCACCTGCGTGGCCCGAGTGCAGAGCTGCGCACTCCATCCTTGTCGTGGTAAGCACCACTGTATGTTTCCATATCCTGTCCTTCATTTACACACTTCTTGGGCAGGGGTGTAAATTAGTAAAAACGAGACAAGGCTTGTTCATGCAGCCTTCTCAGACTGAATTCCCTGCATCTGGTGATAAGGGTGTCCGTCTTCCTCCAGGTGCACAGGAGACCTATTTCCTATTTTCCTGAGGACACAGGTGTGTCAGAGTGTCCTTCTTGTACTGGCCACTTCTTCAGTCCCTTTAATTCAGAGTAATCAACATGCCATTGTGACACATCTTGGGGATGTTGATCCTAGGTCCCTACAGCTGTTAAGAATAAAATAGTTTCTAAGATAATTGCCCCAGAAAACTGTTTATATTAAGTTGCTGATTAATTTAGGTAAAGGGAACTCACTTAAACAGCATGGCAGTTTTTCTGCTTGGCAAAGTCAGGAAGACACACCTGTGACCAGCACAGAGCCATGGAGAGCAGAAGCTCCATGTGGTCTCTCCCCGCAGCCTTACCCACGCCCACCCGCCTCTACGGCTGTGTCGGGGGCAGGGCCCTCCTCCCCTGCATCTCCCATCACTGAATAGATAGAGGCGGTAAGAGGTTTGTTTGGCTGCTCCTCCCACATCTCAGTCATTATTGAGGCAAATGTTGCTGAAGCCCAAAAACTGATATACAGGACCACAGAGCTGTCTGTCTGGGCGACTTAATTTCTGTCCTTGTCTTCGAGCTCAGCCCATCCAGCACCCTGCTGTCTGTTCTGCAGATCCAGTGGTTGCTCAAGGTTTACAAAGCAAACATGCATGTACATGGTGAAATGACTGCCATGGTCAAGCTAATTAACGTGTCATCTCACATGGTTCAGATTTTTTTAATGATGATGTTACTGGACTGTCAGCCTCCTCCCCGTCTCCGACCCGCAGACAAAGGAGGCGACGCGGTGACATATCGAAGACCTGAGTGGGCCAGCCAGGGGCCTCAAGGCACACCTGCTCAAGAGCGGTGCTGGAAAAGCACCTCTCATATTTACTGATCAGGCATCACATTCTTGAGGGGGTTAACAAGTTTCTAGACACAATGATTAACATGCTTTACTACAGGAATGTAATTGCCCCCAGGTCGCTGGGGCACCTCGTTGCCAGGCAATGAGGGGGTAGAGATAACAAGAAACAGATCTCCGTTTAGATTTAGTGAGCTGCGGTGTGCACCACAGATAACAAGGAAGGCAAACAATTCCCACAGAAACAGAACCATCTATGGATGGCAACCCACACTGGACAGTGGCCCACTTCCAAACCCGAATTTAGTTCCTTGACTCTGGAGACGCAAGATCAAGAGACAAGTATTGGTGCAAAGAAAGGCGGCTTTACTCAGGGAGCCGGCCACCGAGCTGATGGGGATCAGCCCCCCAGGAACACCTATGCAGCACTGTTCAGAGGGAGAACGTTTGGAAGTGGAACTTCATGGAACAGGAGGGGCGACAGGCAGAACTGACAGTTAATCAGTGTCTGCACCAGCCTGAGGGCAGATTGCTGGCATCTAGGAAACTGTGCTTCAAAACTGCCACTTCTCTGTGGTTTCCAGGCATCCTGGGTGGATTCCTGAAACTCAGAGACGTCTGATTAGTGTTCTGAGACCCCAGAAGAGAGCATGGAAGAGGTTTGACTTCTTAGCTTATTTTTAAATGAATTGAATTAAGGTTTGTTAGGGCCTTTAATACTGAGAACTCTTAAGATACACTGTCTGAAATGTCAAGTGTCCGATACACTCATTAACTAGTTACCATGCTGTACTTTTCAACATTTGATCCACTTGTCTCCATTTCCCCCACCCACAGCCAGTTGCACCCAGCACTCTAATATTCACCTTTATGAGTTCAACTTTTTTAGACCCACACATATGTGATTTCATACGGCATCAGCTTATATCACTGAGCATGTTCCATTCATCCTCATTGTCTCAAATGGAAGGATTTCATTGTTCTTTTAAGGCTGGGTTATGTACGATTGCATTTTCTTTATTCATTTGATAGGGAGCAGAATAAATGCCCCCAAGACATGTTACTTTACAGGTGGGTTGTTTTGAGCTGGCTCAGAAAACGTATTTTTACTTACTTGCCTTAGGGGTCAAGGGCAGATTGCCCCCTAATGTGCCACTTTGGGGTATTGATGTCTTTGTATTAAAGCTAACAGAGAAAAAGCAGGTGCAAGAAGAACTCTCTGACCCTCCTTGTTCCCCTGAAACCAGGAAATAAATCTCCCACAGGAAATATACCCTCCCTGTACCAGGAGGGTAGAAGGATCCTGATCACCAGAGACAGAAATTCAGAGCTGAGAAGTCTTAAACCTGTCTTATTACTTGTTTACTAATGTACTACACCACACCAAATGCCGGTTAGAATTGCTTACTAATCTAAGCTCCCAAATTTCTTTGCCATGTCAATCTCTCTGATTTATTGTGCCTTTTTCTAAAATGTATATAAGCTGCCTGCGTGGGTCATTTCTTTGGGATTCAGTTTCATTATTGGGCCTCAGGATGTATGTAATTAAACATTGGCTTTTTATCTCCTCTTAATTTGTCTCGTGTCAGTTTGACTCTGAAAATAGCTCAAAGAAACTTGCACGGTAGAGGAAAAACTTCCTCCCTACACTGCCTAAAATCATTTAGAGAGGGGGGCCTGCAGCAGGAAGTGACCTCATAGCAGAGATAGGTTCAGGGAAGTACTCAGATTGCCTGGGTCTCTCCCATGTCATCGGATGTTTCTGTGTTAATAAGCATGTGTTCTTTTCTCCTGTTAATCGCCCTCTTATGTAAGAGGAGGAGAAGACAGGGAAGGTCCGAGTGGGAGGGGTACCCAGGTCAGAGAACGGCGGTTCCAGAGGTTAGGAATCGGTGAGGGTGTCAACACAGGATGCAAAGGGTTAAAAACAAAGGAGTCGGAGAGTCCCGCTGAGACTGACACGCCTTGGTTGTCTGGGGTTTAACGCCCGGGCGGGCAGTGTCAGCCCCCCTGGGGTCACCGCTACAGACCCCTGACCCTGGACAGCGCCCTTCCCTAACAGACCCGAGCCTCCCCGGCGCCCCGCCCTCCCCTAAACCTCAGGGGGCGGAGCCCCAGGCCGCTTCCGGGGCCGTGGGTGCGCGGAGAGACGCCGGACCTGCTGCGCCTGCGCGGCTGTCCCGCCCCGCGGGGAGGGCGGGTCCCGCTCCTGCTTCCGGGCGGCGCGAGGCGCGTGTCCCGCAGTGGGGGTGGCGCGGCCGTGGGGGGCTCCTCTTCCGCGCGCCCGGTGAGCTCGTTTGTCCCCGCGGGCCCCCGCCGGGTGCCGAGCCTGTACGCAGTCCCAGCCCCCTGCGGGGCGGAGCCGGTGCCCGCGGTCCCCGAGCCCCGCGCCCCGCGTCCGTCCTGAGACCCGGGCCCGGAGGGCGGCCTAGGCCCCGTGTCAGGTCCTGCCCGCGGCCAGCGGGGAGCCGGGGGAGGCCCTGCCGCCGGCTGTCCGCGCCTCTTCTCCGGGGCCGTGAGCCGTGTCCGCACAGCGCCCGGTGGGGGAGGAGCCCGAGCAGCCCGAGGCCAAGGCGGAGATGGCGGCCTCCCAGGTGAGGGTGCGTCCGGCCGGGGCTGGGCGGAGTTTCCCCCTGAGCTGCTCTGCGTTTAGAACTGGCGCTCGGTTCCTTCTCTGCTCTGCCGTCCTGCCTTCCGTGTGTGCTCACCTGCTCTGAAACCTTTAAAAAATGCACCTCAGGCTTAGCTGTGTGGGGACCGGGGGTCGGCCACCCCACGATGTGCCACTGGGACATGCAGATTATTCTCAGTTGCAAAACCATCAGGGCACAAAAGACGCAGGAAGAATCTTTGACCTCCCGCCCCAGAACTGCGTGAAAGGAATTTAGCTAGAGTGTTAGGAGGAAAATAGGTATGAGCGGGTGGAAAAAGAATAAAGCCACGAAAGCCCACTGAAAAAGATCCAGAGTTAATGAGTTAATCACTTAAAGCTCAAAAACGAGGAGTAACCTCTTTAAAAAATGCAACTCAAGCTTAGCTGTGTAGGGACCAAGGGTCGGTCACCGCAATATGAGCCATTGGGACATGAAGATTATTTTCAGTTGCAAAAGCATCAGGGCACAAAGGTCTCGGACAGAATCTTTGACCTCCACCGAACAACTTTGTGAAAAGAATTTAGCTAGAGGCATTACCCCTGGAGGAGAGATGACACCATAGATGGCTGTACGTAGTGTAACCTGTGAGGGACGTGGGTGAGTCTGATGATGAGCCCGATAATCTGGTTAAAACCTCATTGCTGCCGTTTACTGCCTGTGTGAAAAAATTTTTTCTTAAAAGAAAAGTATATTCTTCGTATAATATTTGTGCATCTTCTTGCATTAATATATGAAAAGCACTTAGATTGATGTGTTTTAATAGTAAATGTTTACCAGGTATTGTTTCCGTTCTTGGTATTATGTTACAATCTGAAATTGCCAGAAAACTGTTTCAAAGTCTTCCCAGGATTCTTTCCCTGGAGTTACTAAAAAATGTACCACCGGCCCAGGGCTAAGGTGTTGATATAAAAGCACACTCAGGTTCCAGCCCAGAGCTCCTGAATGAACAGCTGCATGTTAATAAGATCTCCAGTTTCCTGTAGTGAAATTCTAATTCACATTGGAATGTGAGTAGTACATTTCTAACTCGCCAAAACCTTCCCTATTGTACACAAGTAAATCTGTAGGCTGTAAACACAGCACTCAAAACTGCGTGTGCCTCTGTTGATACCTGTAATGTGTAACTGATCTTTAGGAAACACAGGTTTGCCGTGTGTCTGTGGGTCATAGGTCATATTCCCTGAAATGCATCAATACACTCAGGGCATCTTACTGTGCTGAGAATGGTCTTATGGGATAAAGTTGGGGATTGATCTCAGTCAGAGCCATTTCTCCTAACATTTTTTAACCTTAGG